CCTGCGTAAGGAGCAGAAAAGGTGAGTGGGGGGCGGGGCACTTGCGCGGGGGTTTCTGGTTCCCACAGACCAGACCCGCCTCCCGCGGTTCAGACGCAGCAGTTTCCGCAATGACACGGGCGCACGGCCGCGGGCGCGCAGGGAGGAGCGTCCTGCTGGGAGACACTTGCGTGAACACTCTCTGGGCAGAGACAAGACGAAGAGCCTGCATCTGCCTGAGTCTTTCCAGGACTTGGGTCCGCTGGTTCGGACGAAGGCCCTCTACCCGATTCCACGCGCGGCGGGCCTGCCCCGCGGACAGGGTCTCAGCCTGGAGCCTGGAGCCTGCACCGGCCCCCTGCGGACGCAGCGCCCGCTGGAGGGCGTGAGATCCGCCCGTCGCCAGATCTCCGCTGCACCCCGCTCTCAACCCCGCGGACCTGCCCCCCTGGCCCCGCCGTGCTCCAGGCCGTCAGCTGGGCCCCGAGAAGCGCAGAGGGAACAGGAGACAGGAGTCCTCAGACCCGCCCTCGGAGGCCCCCGGGCTGCAGGCCCAGACCGAGGCGGCGCTTCTGCCCGAGGCTAAAAGCAGGAAGAGACGGCAGGGTTCCCCCTCGAGGCCTGTGCAGCGGCCTGGCCTTGGCGGTGGACAGGGCTCCCCACGTGCGGAGGGCAGACGGCTTCGCTGCGCCCGCCTGTGCGAACGCAGGTCTCGGGCACAAGCGCCCACACACCCCGCACCCCGTGGCCAGTCCCGCTGGCGCACGAGGTTCACCGCCCCGGGGATGTGATGCCGGCGCCAGGCAGCCAGCCTCCGCCCCCCTCTGCCGCTGCGCCCCCTCGGCCCACATCGGCCAGCACAGCCCTCCTTCGTGGCCGAAAACCGGGGACCCTGACGGTCACAGAGCAGAGGCAGAGGCTTCCTGTCGCGGTAACGGAGTCGGGCCCTGGACTCCCGTCTTCCCAGTCAGAGAAGAAACTTCCAGCGTGTCGGGGCCGCCGACAGGGGCGCGGTGTTCCCGGGCGGCGGGACCGGGTTGTGGGTCAGGCAGCAGAGGAGCAAAAATGCCAGGAACTGGAAGGGGAAACCCTCAGACCTGTGGGGCCCTGCTCTACGGGAGGGGGTGGGGGGGTGTTGATAAAACAACCTTGCACAGCCTTTCATGACGTCATGACACCAGCTCTTTCCCAGGCCAACCTTCTGAGACAGTAGGGCTGATGTGCACCGCCCCCCCAGACGATTCTCTCTGAGGAAAGGCAGGGCTGTCTGCATGGGGCTGGTAACTCAGTGGGAACGGGTTCCTCGCCCTGGACTGTGCAAACGAGTGCAGGGTGAGCGGACAGTCCAATGTTTCTGGTGAACACCAGGTGTTCGCTTTAAAACGTCGTTATGAATGCGCATCAGGCCTTAGGGCAAGACACGATGGTAAAACTCTGTTGTAACGTGATGGGCAGGAAAACGAGTTTGCTAAGTTCAAGCCGGTTTCAGGGGAAACGTGGGGTCGCTGTGGAGCACAGAGGTCTCGGGCGTCGCCGTCCTGAGCTCCGCTGGGTTTGGGGTAACGCAGGTTGGGCCAAAGGCCAGGAGAGGCCCCGAAGCCGGGAGAGCTCTGCTTTCCGACCCACCGGTCCCCCCTTTGACCACGGAACTGCTTTCTTCTCGGAAACACGTAACGTTTCAAACACCGCGTTACAGGAGCACACGGTGGGAAAGGCGCCGCGCCACTCTGCTCCCCGGCCCTTTCTTCTGAAGAAACAAACTGCTGGAGTGCAGGGGTGCAGGGGTGCACCGGGGAGCCGTCTCCACACCACCCTCCCTAGTTAGCATTCCCAGAGTGATAAAAAGCATTTTTTTTACCAAGAGATATACCATGCAGTGTTTGGGACATACTACACAAAAAAAATTCCTTCTTTATCTGATTTCTGAAATTTAATTTTAACGGGACACCTTGCATTTTGTCTAATGACCCCCCGCCTGACCCCGCCGGGGAGGACGGGCTCCTGGCCCCCGGTCCACATTTCCAGACGGGGAACGGGACTTCAGGCCCGGAAGGGGCACGGGACCCACAGCCCAGCCTGGCCACCAGCTTTCCGTCCTAGTTTCTGCCCACAGGACCCTCAATCGTCCCATCAGCTGGCACCTGAGCACCTGCGTTGGGCACATCTCATTGGTTGTGGTCCGTTTGGGGGTCAGTGTATTCAAGTGCCAGCACACCTGTCTCTCTGCACCTGCACCTCACCGAAAATGAGTGGGGGCCTCGTTTCCCTCCCAGATCAGCGACCTGACCGGCGTGTTTGCCATGCAAGCTCCCAGAAACCAGAAAACCCTGGAGTCTGGTGGGCAAAGCAGATGTTCTCAGAACACTCAAGGCACAGTAACGAGTTAACGGTTTAAAAATACATAAAATGTCTTTAAAAAGAAAAGAAACCACCCCAACTCACCCCTGACCACTTTCTTGCCTTTTTGCAGCTAATTTTAACTGACCCAATCACCACGGCGCCCGTGGCGCTGGGGAGCCTCGGGGCCGTGAGTCACATCCTCGGTTACGGGAACGACGGCGCAGCCGGCACACTCAGCTTTTGCTCCGTGTCTGAGAAGTGAGTGGGCGATCAGGAGGCTGGGACAGAGCCGTTTTGCAGGGAGTTTGGCCTTGCCCCGACCTCTTCACCTTTCCGTTTTCGGGACTCAGGCTGAGAGAATACCCAGGCCACGTTCAGGGGCAGAGAAGGGCAGTGGGGGCAGCAGGTCGCAAACGCAGCCTCCTCCCCGAGGCCGCTGGAAGCCTGGCTCAGTCCTTCCGCTCCGAGGTCTCGTCCTGAGTGCTCGTGTCCAAAGGCAGCAAGTGGACGGTTAACCGCCAGACTCGCCAGGGAAAGGCTTGTTTCCCTGCTTGTGTGACACGGGCCACACTCGCTGTCTCTCACTCCCATGGCCTCGATACTCCGCACAGAAAATGATCCACACGTAAAATCATCTGGCCAAAGCCCCCCGTCCCCCACCTGTCCCCGAGCTGCCTCAGGTGTGAGTGGCCATGAGGACCAAATAGGACGTTTGTGGAGTTTCAGAGAGCAAACGGAAGGGATGTGATTTTAACCCTGTAAGTTAAAATTCCTTGAGTGTAAGATGTTTTTCCTTCAGGGAGCATGTGCGGGGAACCATGAGAAAGAATGCACCCCAGGTCCTTACAGCGTGGACGCCAGAACGGGGAGGGCCTTCACAAGGCCTGAGCGCGAATGCCGTGACCCCGCAGGTCAGCTCAGCTCTGCCTGCGACACCACACCTTCTGTGTTCTTCCTCGGTGTGACTGCACCCTCGTCTCTGGTCACCATTCCCTGAAGTGACAACGAGAGGTGCAATCATTATCTGAAGAGTTCTAGTTGCTTAAGAATATTCTCCATCCTCTTACCAGCTCTGGAAACATGTAGGTCAGACTTTCCCGAGTTGTCCTGAGGACACATAATGATTGCTGAGAAATTGAAGCCATCGATGAATTAAGTCTGGAACTCAGGTCAAATAATTTCAAAAGCAAAAGTAATGAATTCCTTTTGCATTTTTATAGGAAGAAGAAGCAAGGAAAGGAAGGAGGAGGAGGAGGAGGAGGAAAGCAGTCACCACTGGTTTGACCCAAGAGCTGGGCCAGGGCAGGGCCGCTGGAGGTCCCCCACCTTCCACCCTTGGAACGTGACTTCCGCTGGCCTTCCCAGCTCCCAGAAGCACCCCCAGAAGTCAGCCTTTGAATAGAAATGCAGTTGGGACTCTTTGTCCTGGGTATGACCCAGTTGAAACCTCTTGGGTGCGTGACTGCACCCACTTAGGGCCTCCACATAAACTTTTAAGATTTGGAGGGTGGATGGGGAAAACTAGTCCTCCTGTCGTGGCTCAAGACAAGCCTCGTGAGTAAGTTCCCTGGCTTACCTCACCTGCCACCTGCCACCTGGAGTGTCCGCCTTCCTGTTAGGTCTCTGCCTGCCCCCGGCCTACGGAGGAATCCCCCTCGAAGGCTGTGACCCAGTACGAGTGTGTGAGAAAGTCTGTGATTTGAATTCCACATCCTTTCAGCCCTGTGTGGTCCCGAGCTGGCGATGTGTCCAAGCTCAGGGACCAGAATGAGCCAGAGAAGCTCCGCCAGGACCAGCGCATAGAGATTGGACTTCTGGCCCCAGGTAACCACATTCTCTCGAGTCTGCATACAGCGAATGGCCCACAAATACCAGATTCTGTGGTAAAGCTATTGCAGAAAGTAAAAGGCAGGGGCGGGGGGGGTTTCCTTTCACTCCACCTCTAAAGCAAGAAGCACGTTTACGTAATACCGGCAGGGTCTTGGTGCCCACTGGGGATGTCCTCCCACATTCTCACCACGGTGAACAGCAGGACTATCGTAAGGGTGTTTGAAGGCCAAGAACTCCTGCGTGATTTTGTGCCACATAAATATTGTGCCGTGGGAGAAAAGACTGAGGGAAACGTGTCAGGTACATGAACGAGAAGGTAAAACTGGTAAGAATTTGGCTCTTAGGTTTCTTTTGGCTACAGAAGTGAGTGATGTTTTCATATTATTAATAAATAAAAGTCTGCTTGAAACACCCCCTCCCCCCGAAATGCTTGCTTTTCAGCCATGAATAGTTTTCTAGAAACAGAAAAGTTTTGGGCTAAGACTAGCAGGGACAGGGAACCCATTTACCCAGCACCTCCTTCACACAACACGAGGAGTGTTCAAATATTTTGACCCTGTTGTCATTTTGATTCTGGCAGAATAAAGAGATTTTGGGACTTGTTTACTTGCCCCGCCCCCGCAATCTTCTGTGAGGGGCCATCCCTGCCGGAGACACTAACGCATCGTGGTCAGTGTCAGAGCTGAGCTGTTTACCTGGAAGCCGCGGTCTGTCCAGGGAAAGGGCTCTGCTGCTCTCCTGCACCCGCAGCCCCGGCCAAGAACGACCTCTGGGAGGGTCGGCCAGCTCCGACTCTCAGCACCAGGGAGGTTAACACGAGGACAAAGTGCGGACTGACAGTATCGATCATGTTTAATGAAAAAGAAGTTACATGAATAGAAATGGACACAAAACAAAGAGATCAAATTGGGGAAATAAGGTGATAAGTAAAACAAGGGAAAATCACTTTAATCCTGAATTTACTTACATAGTTCCATTAATTATTACTGACCCCAAACACCCTCTTAAACCCAAAACAAAGCAGTAGTTGCAATGTTGCCGATGTTTTTATGGGAGCTCACCGAAGCAGTGTCTAAACAACCCCTTTCCGTTCCCCCACCCCCACCCCCGGCACACGGCGCAGGCAGGTGGACGTGAGGCCTCGTCTGCTTCTCACTGTTGCAACCACGTCAGCCCGCGCGCGGGCGCTTCGGGCACAGACCGGCTTCTGCGCGCGCCTCCGAGACCAAGCTCCTGTGCTGTGCGGCCGCGCAGCCTCAGCACGACCCACCGCCGAGGGCAGCTCTGACTCTGGCGGACGTGGGCACGTGGACACGGCGGGGACGTTCTGAGGGCTCAGATGTGAGCCTAGGGGGACCGTGACGATACGACATTTAAGGCACAGCTGTGGATCCGCCGTGAGCATCTTGCTGGTCTGTTCTGTGGCTTGATTCTGTTTGAGGTTCTTAGCGGAGCCAATATGCTGCTTCTGTCATTTTCTGCCCTGATGTTTAGGAGGGTCCTATCTTCCTAAATAAGAAGACAACGCCTTGGAAACTAATTACAATCTCTGAAAACAGATAAGGGTAACAGGTTTGCTTTAATCATCTTACTCAAAGTATAATATCCCCTCCCACCCCCATGAGACTGGACAGCAAGCGCTGGGCTCCAGCGCCGCCGGCCACGTGGGGCGCCAGCTGCGCGGGGGCAGCACCCAGCGGCCAGGCGCGCGCCGAGCTAGGACGAGCCCTGTCGCTTCTGGTACTGGACCCTGAGTTTTTCCAGCTGCTCCACGCACTGGGACTGGGCCAGCTTCAGGGCGCGGTTCTCCTCGGTCAGCGCCTCGAATTCGCGGGCCAGCTGAGCCGCGTCCACCTTCTCCTTCTCCGCCTGCGCCAGCTTGGCCATGAGCTCCTTCCTGCAGACGAGGCAGAAGAGCACACGATGTAATGCGCACGCGCGGGTGCAGGGCTGGGAGCCTGCCCGTTTGCGCCTGCGCACCCCACCCTCCGCGCCTGCCTCCTTTCTTTCACTCCAGCACGTCTGCTGAGACATCCCATAATACTAACCGTTGTCCGGGAAACGCTCGACAAATCCTCCCACAATCAACACGGCTGATCTTTTTAAGGGCACGACGACCGGTAAAAACTGCAGGTAGTTTTGTTGAAGGGGAAAACCCCTAAAAGTCTCTAGAACTTAAGACGCGCTCTCTCGCGTTACGGGCGGGGGAACTGTCCCCGGTCCCCAGCCACCCCTCGCCCTCCCCGGTCAGGTGTCTTCCTCTGGGTTCTGTCTCCGAGTCTAACGGACCTTCGCTGGTCCCTCGAACGGAGAGGTCCACTCCTCCCGCAGGCACTGCTTTCCCTGCCGTCCCCTAACGTACGCGACAAGCCCCGGCACTGCACTGCGGTGCAGACGGAGCCCCGGGCGCAGGCCGAGGTGGTGGCGCGCACGGGCCGCGACAAACTCGCGCAGCTCTCGGTCCCCCCCGGAACGACCGCACTGCTGTAACCACCATGGGGAGGCGCTGGAGACTCGCAGCCCCCGTTTAGATTTGATAAACACGATGAGCCCAAACCGGGCCATTCCCCTGCGCGGGTCAGTGACCCCTGAGCGGAATGCCTTTCTGCCGCAGTATAAGCGCACGTGGCATTTCCTCCTCCGCCGGGAAAAGCGCAGAGACGCCTGAAGGCCGCTGAGTCCAGTGCTCCGACCGGACGTCCCCGGGGCCGGGACGGGGAGACGTCGTCACGGAGCGCGTCATCCTTTCCGCGGTACTCCTGGGCCAAACGCAGGCAGCACGCACCTTCGGACTGAGAGATTGCTAGCTTACACTCCTCAAGAGGTAAAGAACGTATTTAAAGAAACTAAAGAGAAATGACAGCTGAATGAAATGTGCAATTGTGGCCTGAAAAGAGAAATAGCTGTGAAGGACAGGACTGGGAAGTGGTTGCAACTTAAATACGGACTGTGCATTAGATAATAGTTGCTGGTATCGGCGCTAAAATTCCTCCTTTTAACGACTGTGTTGTGGTTCGGCGAGAGAGTGCCCTTGTTCTCAGAAGACAGTCACTGGAGTATTTAGGGCAACGGAGCGCGAAGGTCACGCAACAGGGGCAGTGGGACGCTGTCTCAAAGGTGACGTGCGCAGCACAGAGTTCCCGCGGACTGTTAATGATCTTTGCATCCTCGACGGAGCTTAGAATGCAAAGGCTCCTGATGAATACTGGCTGAATGAACACTGAGGAGTCAGCTACCTCAGAGACAAATGATATATGTTTTAAAGATGAGGAAAGAGAAATTCAAAGGGCTTAATTTAATTGAAAAGCTCATACAGCTAATAAGAGTGAGCCAGCATCAAGCTATTCTCATTTATGGCTCTTTACCTCTAAGCACATTGAAGCAATAAATGTCACTAATTAAGTACTAATAAAGATCCTTATGTAACTACCTTAAAGACATTGATTAGTACAGCATAGGAAATATAGTCAATAATATTATAATAACTCTGTATGGTGCCAGTTGGGTACTGGAAGTATTGAGGGGAAACTTTGTGAAGTATAGGATTGTCTAACCACTATGCTATATACCCAAAACTAATACACAATAATATTGAATGTAAGTTGTAATTTAAAAAGATTTTCAAGAAATTGATTAGTAAAACTTACATAAGTAAAAGAGAGAGGTGCCTCTACACTCTCCATCCACCAGATCTTCTATTCCCGTTTCTTCCCCTTTCAAATCAACTGTATCACACACATAATTCAGGTTAAAACAGAGTTTGCTCTCAAATCGTGGTGGAAGGGTTGGAAATCCTGGGTACAACCATGGCTGCCCCCCTGGATCCATGAGGTCTGACCTCATCTAAAACTCCTGGGGACGTGTTAATAGTTTTGATGGGTAGAGAAAATAAATCAAATACCAAAGATTTTACAATGTCTCCAAAAGGACTGGTCATGATCGTCTGGTCGAATCTTCTTGGTTCAGAGAAAGTCAAAATAATTTCTTCCTTGTTAGAATTAAGAAGACTTAATTGATAGGTTTCTAAATTAGTTCCATGTATTTGAAAGCAATTATCCATACATATATTCAATGAATACTGTCAAAATGTCTATCATCTCAAAGACCTATTTATGCAGACATATTTATGCTCATCCATTAGCAATTCATGATTACTGCTGGCACATCAAGCTGCAGAGACAATCTTATAAATAGATGCTAAGGAACAAATCAGTCTCCCTAACTGGCTAGAACGTGGTCCTGCCCTTCAGTTCCCATTTATCATTTCTGTCAGCCCCTTCAGTGGAGTGGGTGCGGGGCCGAAAACCACCGTCACCAGAAGGCAAGACCTGTGACAGTTTCCACACGCTGTAACCGCCGGAGAAAAGACCGTGACCTTGGGTCTGCCGTAGATAAGCTAGACCATCCTAGACCACGTTCCTGAAAAAGCTTCTACTTGCTAAAACAAGTGGGAGAAGAGAAACTCCAAGTGACTTGATAAAGGAAACACTGAAACTTTGTGGCCACTGAGTCGAAAGTTAAGGAGATTCTTCATGTTGCAGGGATGTGGATTCATCATCAGGCATGTGGTTCTCTGTGTCTAGAAAGACTAACACCGTGGTTGTGGAGACTTTCAAAATTGAGTAACAGCTTTTATTTGGAAAAGACAAAATCCTAGGGAGTTTGGCCCCAGTGAGCTAAAGAGTTTGGGGCAATTTAATAACATACTATCTTGACCACAGGATTTTTATTTTAATTAGTGATTTAGATGACACTGTTGTTTCTTCTTGACAGACGTGTGTTGCAGGACAAGCATTTATACATGGAGAGGAGGAGCAGATGCCTGGAAAGGACACCAGGGGTAGGACCGCCTGTCTTCATTTCCTGCAGGTGGAGGAACAGTGTGTGCGACCGGAGTGGAATGTCCACAGCACCGTCTGGACGGTGGTGCCGAAGGCCGCCGACTGAGTAATGCGCGAGGCAGACAGGAATCTGTCTCCCGGAAGCCACAGGCACCACCGCACCCATGCGGGGGTGGGGTGGCAGGGAGTGCTGTCGAGTTTCTCAGTCTCAGCACCGTCGACCTCTCAGGCCGGACCGTCTTGCCGTGGGGGCTGTCCTGTGTGTGGGCCTCGTGGGAGGTGCAACGGCACCCTTGGCTGGCACCCAGCAGATGCCAGTGTTACCGGTTATCTCAGCAAAAACACCTCCAACCTTGCCAGTGCCCTGGGGGTGAGGGACTGAAATTTTGGCCCAGTTACGAACCACTATTCTAAAGAAAATAGATTTTTCCACTACCACCTCCAAAAGAGTTAATTTGGGGGCATAAATAAGGTGAAAGGTCAAATATTTCCTCACTTGGCTCCCCCAGAAATTGGAGCCTTCTTCCTTAGCAAAGGAGGTAAATGTTTTGTCTCCTTTAACATGGTTTCAAGGGAGAGGATTAGGCAAGAGATGCCAGTTAAATGGATAGACTGCTTGTAATCAGGCAATGGGAGACGCCCACACCATTATGATTGGGGCATTGATGGAAAGTGTAATCTCACAGCCTGGTAAACTCTGGGATGCTGGGATTTCACACAAAACTAAACCCTAAAATGAAAGAATCCCGTGACTCTCTCTCACCCGCTGGAGCAAAGTGAGGAGCCAAGACAGTTCTTTAGTTCTTTTTCCATTCACTCAGCAAGTGCTTATTGAAACCCTGTTGCAAACCAGGACTTGCCCTCGAGTCGAGTCTCGAGGCACATGACAGTCTCGGGAAGCCCCTCTCTGTGGGGTGCAGAAGGATGCAAACCCTGCACCCCACCCAGAGGCCTCGTGCCCACATCAGACATCTCGGGAGGGAAGACAAAACGTTCTCCCCACGTACCACCCGCCCTGCAAACACCTGAGGGGCGATGGGTCCAGGTACTGTTTCTTTAAGACAGTGAAACCCCCTTCTGGGGTCCGTCTCAGTAACTATTTGACAGAATGTGCTTAGACTGTGACAGTGATGTTTGCTTTTCAATATTTTAGAGCTGCGGGGTCCATTTTTCAAAGAACTGAAGCAAGTAAAACAGATAAAATCGGACCCTCTCTGCTTGGCCCTGGTCCGGTCTCCGACCGACACCCCTCCATTCCCAATCTGGAGGGGTTCTCGAAAATGCAGTTTAAAATCCTCTGCCTTTGGGGCCCTAAAGAAATAAATGTTTCTAACGAAACATTTGGAAATTTCAGAATAAGTTAAGTACTATACTACCAACCAAAACAGGGCCCCTTTTGACTACACTTTGACAAATCACATCCGCTCCCTTTCCCTCCCTCCAGACAGGTTCCCCTTGAGGAGACTGCCGTTCCCCCATCACCCTTTTCTGTGTTTAAAAAGGCCATGAAACATGCCTGGCATTGACTGAGGTTAACTCCGTATGAAAACCCTGTTCTACTGTTTTGCATGAACCCACAAAAATTCTATAACTTGTTTCAATAATAAGACAATTTTTAAAAAATGGCCAAAGGAGCTGAATGGACATTGCACCAAGAAGACACAGAAATGCCATAAGCACAAGAAAAAGGAGTCAATATTTTCCACCATGGCGGGGTGTGAATGAAAACCACGAGACTTCCTTTCGCACCCACCGGAATGGCTACGGTCTCAAAGATGCTGTGAGTGTCGGCAAAGACGCGCACGATGAGAACACGCAGATGTTCCTGCTGGAAACATGAAGGGGTGCGGCCACTTCAGCCACCAGCAGCCCCTCAGAAGGTGACATGCTGAGCTGTTGTGTGTCTCAGCGGCCCCACTCCTAGGCACACAACACACGGGAATTAGAAGCTCGTGTCCACACACAACGTTGTGCACGGGCATTGCAGCTGCATCACTCACAACAGCCAAAGGGGCAAACCGCTCGACGGTCCATCAGCTGATGACACGGATTAATAAAACCCGGTCTGTCCATCCCAGGGGACACCATTCGACAACAAAAAGGCATGAAGTGCCGACACACGCTACACGGATAAACCTCACAAACACCGCACCACAGAAATGAAGCCGTTCACAGAAGAACACGTCCCGTCTGGATGCATTTGACAACCCACAGTCACAGCGAGCAGGTGGGCGGGGGCTGGGGGCGCCGCTGGCTGCCCGGGGGGCAAGGGTGTCCTCGGGGACAACAATGCCCTGAAGTCGTGGTGGTGGCAGCACAATCCTGTGAGTGCACGGAAAGCTGCTGAGTCACGTTCTTTAACTCGGTAGCAGGTGTCAGCCTGACATTTCTAGGAGTGTGTCAGTGTTCTGGCATTCTAAGTCTACCGTTTGAAGCAACAGCAGCTAGCACACCTTCTTGCGTGGGACAGTCGAGAGGTTAACCCCTTGAACAAGACAAAGCACACGTACCTGGGGAAAAGCCACTTTCCCTCGGTGCAAATCGAACGGTGCCTCTAACCGCTGTTTAATGGTGTATATTAAACACTTTCCGTCAGACGGTTTAGTCACAAGTTTCAAACGTCACAAAAGGTCCACATCTCACTCCCATGTGCTTCCATTACATGCATAAAACTGCATGTGTTATATAAAAGGCTTATAATTGTAACTAAAAAACCTGTACATATTTCATGTCACTAGATATGTAATTATATAAAAATATTCACCTGCAAAAGGCCTAGACAGAAATGATAGCAGGAATTCTGTACCTCTTGGTAACTTTTATAAAGCTTTCAATAAAATTGTCATTTTTTTTTCAACTGAGAAGAAAAAAAGATCCAATATAAGTATGAACAGGCTTTTCTTACATTATTAGCCAATAGGTCAGAAGTGATCCTTTAAGTTAAATTCATTCTATGCTGAATTTATAATCCCAGAAAAAACCATCTAACACCATGATTCAACATAATGGAGCCAACATTTCTCCTTGCTCCGCTGTGGTCCCCGAACGTGATCCAGGGAGACCTCCTCTGGAGATGCCGGAGAAGTTCAGCCTGCATCAGGCCAGAGACTGAACTCTTCTAAGGAGGCACCCAAGGGTGCATCTCCCTTGGCACCCAGCTGACACTAACTGATCACTGGGGGCAATGCAATCATCCATACTTTAGAAAAAGATCAGGAGGGAACTTTCATCCAAATCATCAAAAAATGGACGGCCAATTATTTAGGTCAAACCCATGTGGCCCAGTTTCTGTTGCTTGGAAACAAGATCTGTTTAGGAAATGCCTGTTGCAAAACGAATTTCTGCTTCATGGAAGTGTTCAGGAAAACAACGATCACCGATAAGCCTTGGAAGACAACCCTCATTATAATTACAATATAACCAAACGTTCTATCTTGACGATTTATCTTAGACTTCATCACAGATGCTGACTCCATATTTAAATATGGACCGCAGGAATTACAAATAAAGCGTCCGCATGGAGGGCATTACAACCCCCCATCATCGCCACTCTCGGCCACTCTCGGCCACTCTCACGTGTGTCGGACCCTCTGCACAGCTCCCCGCTCGGGGGTGGAACCCGAATGTGACAGGGCGTCCGTGTCTGCACACACAGTCAGCAGGGGCAGCACCCGGGTGGGTGACCGCCGAGGGCACCAGCCCGCAGAAAGGGCCAGCTCGGTCATTCCAGGGAGCCCCGCGGTGCTCCAAAGTGTGCGGCCCTGTGGGACGACTGGGGCGGGGGGGGGGGGGCGGGGAGGTGGGCGGGGAGCGGGGGAGGGGCGGCGAGGGACGGGACGGGACGAGGCGAGGTCCGCCTCGAAATCCAGGCCAAGCTCAGGGTGTCCCCTCCGAGCGACGGAAACCACAGGCAGGACAACCAAGGGCAACAACAGGACACCGACCCAGATCTGGAGCCCCCGAGTCCCCCTCCCAAATGGCAGAGGCGGGAATAATGAAAAACAAATTTGGGAGACTATGAAGAAGAAAGGAAAAAATAACTAAAGAATTTGGCCTTTGCCTCCCAGTTAGACAGCTGTTTAGAAAGGCCCGTGAGCAGCTAATCGGGGGTCCGGCCAACATTTCTGTGGTTTGGCGGGTTAGGTGGAGCCACCTTCCCTCCAGAGTCGGCTCTGCCTTCCCGCCCGCAGCCGCCAGCGCTCCCAACAGCGCAGGGGCCCGCCCCCACCGCACGCCAGGCGGGCGGCCCTCGGCCGGTGTCCCGCGTGTTCTGTAAAGGCGGCAGACAAGAACGTGAGCCCGCGGACCCTGTCATGTAGCAGGCACGTCTCCCACCGCCCCCGAATAGAGAGCCTCGCGTCGGCGGAGGTGACGAAGTGCCCCGGCAAGGCCATCGGAAGATAAATACAGACAAACACAGAGCCCCCTGTTCCTCCGTTAGGACATCACAGTCCGCGCACGCACTCTCACACGCACACGCACACGCACACGCACACGCACACTCTCACCTGCACGCTGGAACCTCGCAGCCCTGGTCACACTACCAACCCGCTTCCTGCGTTCCTTTACGAAACTTCTCCTCTCGGGACTCGGACTGCAGGTCAAGGTTCCGCCTGCCCACTCCAGTCAACGGGTGGAAACCCCCAAACACGGGAGTCTCAGGCATCCGGGCAGGGAGCTGGGTTTCTGATCTCGCAAACATCCTCCGTCTTCTGTCACCAGAACCAGGTACAACGTCACGTCTTCAGCGCAACAGAGCGAGGAGGTAAGGGGAGGTCTGCCCCCTGCCGCCGGGGCCTCACGGTGCGCGCGGGAGTCCGGTCCGTGCAGCTGCCGCGCGGGGCTCGCAAAACTCCCGACAACGTCATAAACTTCTCAAAACAATGTATTTCACTTGCTTCGATTTTAAAGTTAAGTAATAAATATATATGACGTGCCTCTTCAGCAAGAGGAAGGGGAGAGGCAGACCAGGAAAGACAGTCTGTTTGGGCTCAATACAGGGTCACTTTCAATGCGCGTCGCTCATCTAGCCGCATGCGCATGCGTCGCTCGTCCAGCACGCATGCGTCATTCATCCGGCAGGCACACGTCACCTTAACCTTGAACAGAACCGAACCCTCTGCTGCGGGAACTCTTCCAGGTAAGCGTTCGGTATGATCCACCTGCAGCCAAAGAGTGCTGGGGCCCGTGGGCACGTTCACGGGCAACGGAGAACGGCTCCGGGTGGCATTTTGGCATGTTTAATTCCCTGAGCTCAAATGCTCATTAAAAACTTTCCTTTGGAGGAAGGGAGCACCCCCGTTCCTCTCACCGCTCGTAAAATGAAACATCGGACCCACAGAGGTGCCCTCTGGGTCATGTCTCTGCCGAGCAGAATAGACCACACGTTTCCTAGCAACCCCGATCCCCTGTCCCCACCCCACCCCACCCCACCCCATCCCCGGCTCCAGCCACTTACTTCCTCTCCTCCAGCAGCGCGATCTCCTTGCGCACCTCGTGGTATTCCTCCGCGATCTGGCAGTGCTGCCGGAAGACCTGCATGGACTCCAGGGAGTCCTGGCAAGGCGGCAGAGGCTTCGGGAACAACAAGAAGTCAGTCATTTTCCTGTATCAATAAGTCACCAACCCCTTTGCGCCCCTGGGGCCTCGGTCCTGCCCCGCGCCCCGCAGGCACAGCCCTGTGTTGGAGGGGCCGCCCAGGGGTGGGTCAGGCTCCGTGACCATGGCTCAGGCGCTCTGGTCCTGCCACCCAGGCTTCTTATCGCTGGCGAGAGCAGCCCTACCAGAAGGGCGCCCTTCTGGGACGTGCCCCCAAGCTGAAGGGCAAGGCTGGGCCACAGGACAAGTGAGGCCCGAAGAGCCCGGCTTCCTGGGCCTTCCGACCCCAGCGAGGGACTGAGACCCCCGGGCAACCCTTCCCGACCGTCACGTGTCGAAAAGTCTACATCCGGCAATCAGTTTCTAAAGAACTAGCTTTCCTGAGTTTATCACTCTAATTTCTAGTTAGCAACACATTATTAAAACCATTACTTTTAGAACCACTAGTTAATAGCCTTTTAAAGAGTTTTTTACTCACTTTTCAATTATTTACAGAGAATGTTACATAATATCTGAGAAAGAGGATTTCACTGTTCAACAGGCTTTTCAGTCTGACCCTCCCTTCACCCTGGTCCAGGCGGGTAGGCTGTGTGTCTGCTCAGATTCTCGCTTTTTCATGTTGGTAACCTGAGAACTAGTGAACTCTGCACTGCTTGCTCCTCTCCTTACGTTCTGCAAAGACACAGCAGCTCTCTGGGTGTCAGGTGCGACTCCATCCAGGAAGCAGTAGAAATCCTATAGTTCATTGTCTGATTGATGGACGCGGTGACCCTTCTCATTTGCCATCAGGCCTCTGCATAGAGGTCTTTTAAAAGAAATAAAATTCAAAATTGATTTGGAGGAACTTTGCCTCCCTGTGGAAAATCTGTGTCCTGAGTCATGGAAAATCTAACAGAAACTGTGTGATGCAGTACCCTTCCCTAGGGCCCCGGAACACACTCAGCGTGTGCTCAGCCTGTTGGGACTGTCGCCCCTTTCCGCACAGCAGCGCACTGGGAAGCGGCGCCAGTCAGCTCGCCGCGGGAGAGGGAGCTCCCGCCAGGGGAATGCAGAGCTCCTGGCTCCTGCAAGTGTGTCCTCGAACTCCCCACCTCACCAGCTCTCACCTGTTCCCCTGGCAGAGCGCCAGGTGTAACGGCAAGGCGAGTGAAACTCACTCACTCTGGGCAGCCTCTGCTAGTCAGTCACCCAGGCCTCGTCACCCGGGCCCTGCGACTTGGCGTGTCTGTGTCCACCTGATGGACACGCAGCCCACGCCCGGCTCAGTCTGTAACTGCCGTGTGGTGGCAGGGCCTGCACCACAGATTCAGCACAGTTACGCCTGTGACAGTCCAGAGCTTCCCAGACTCTCTGGAAGAATTCATGTGCATTAGGGTTCAGACGAGAGCAGCCGCAGTCAAGGGGGGACTTTCCTTTGCTGCTGTCATTAAAAAGGAAAACTGAAAATCAGGTTGGTGCATGATTGTCTTAAAAAGAGGAAGGCCTCTTTCCCCCCTTACCTTTTTATTAAGTGGGAATTTTTTTCATGGGTTCTTTTTTTTTAATCGGCACTTTTTAATAGTGGCAAATTGGAAGACATCATTATGTGTCGGCAGCAGGCCCCTGCTGCCAAGGGTATTTCAGGGTAGGGGTGGTTCCGGATGTATTCCGCATCCTCCTGTGCTCTTAGCAGGATGACCATGCTACACAGTCACATTTTCAAGGTTCCCCACAAGGAAGAAGTAATTCCGGTTTTTAAAGAACAAGCCAAAACTGCTGAGTGCTCAGTGTTTGGGGGAGGAAAGGTGCCAGGTGTCCTCGGCCCCTGAGCCCTGCAAGCTCTGTCCTCACCCGCCCTGGCACGGAGGGTTAGCACCGCTTCAGGGTCTCCCTGTGTGCATCAAAGTGTTAACAGCTAGGGTTTTTTTAAAGCAAGGACGGAAGTGATCTTACACAAGCCACCACAACACTGTGAAGTTGTCGTGTTGGTTGCCAGGGATTGGGGGAGGGGAATGAGGAGTTGCTGCTTAATCAGTAGAGTTTCAGTTCTGCAAGACGGAGAAGTTCCACAGATGGTTGCTCAGCACTGTGAATGCACTTAACCCTGCTGACTGTACTCTTACAGATGATTAAGGTGGCAACATTCATGTCGTGTGTTTTTTACCACAGTAAAAAAAAAGTTAGTGCAACAAAAGAGTGGTCCTTAACCCTTTCTGCTGCCCTGGCCCGTCTTCTGAACTCTCTAAGGCTCCCGGCACTGGCATGCTGCCTTTCTCCCCAGGGAGCTTAGAGCCTCTCGCTGCTTCGTCACCCCGTGCCTCTGACCCCAGCACCACCGGACAAATGGAAGCGCCCTCTGCCCAGCAGGACCCCCCTCCTTCAAGGGCCTCTGATGACATCACTGGACATTTTCTCCAGCCAAGGGGGCTCTCCACATAATTTTTTAAACATATGTTCTTATCCCAGCAGGAATTCTGGTGAATTAGAGTATTAAAATATTTAGATTTCAGACACAAAAACTCAAGATGGAGGTGTGGGTAGATATGCTTCACCTCCTCGCACAACCAGAAGGAGGATAACAATCAATTTAAAAACAAAACCAACCAGAGCTGCCAGAAAACCAAACTGTATGGGAGCCCAACAACCAAGGAGACAAAGAAGAAACATTCATTCAGACTGGTAGGAGGGGCGGAGACGGGCAGTTGGGGCAGAGAAGACTTGCAGTGAGGCAGCAGCTAGCGGACCGGACAGTCCCACATTCGCACGTAAATATTCGTAGATAAACGGAGGAACAACTGGGGAGCAAGATAGACCGAGCAACGCAGGGTTCCAGCTCGGGGAAATGAAGTCTCAGAAACTCTGGCTGTAAAAACCTGTGAGGGTTGCAGTGGCAGAAGAAACTGCCAGCTTTTCAGGAGAGTCCTTTGGAGGAACCCACAGGGTCCTAGAACATACACAAGCTGGCCCTCTCGTGAATCAGCTCCAGGGCAGCACCTGGAAGGGCGCAGTTCACTTGGGGGAAGCAGAGGAAGTGGCTGAAAGCAGGGTAAGAGCTGAGCAAGTGGCATTGTTCCCTCCCTGACCCTCGCCCACACACAGGACCACAACACAGGGACATGGGTTGCCCCACCGTGGCAAATACCTAAGGCTCTGCCCCTTACTATGTAACAGGCACGCCGAGACAAAGAAATTGGCCCAAATGAAAGAACAGATCAAAACTTCAGAAAAAGTACTAAGCAACAAGGAGATAGCCAGCCTATCAGATGCAAAGGTCAAAACACTGGTAATCGGGGTGCTCACAGAAATGATTGAGTATGGTTGCAAAATGGAGGAAGAAATGAAGGCCATGCAAAGTGAAATAAAGAAAAATATACAGGGAACCAACAGTGACAGGAAGGAAATTGGGACTCAAATGAGTGATTTGGAAAAACAGGAAGAAATAAACATTCAACTGGAAGAGAATAAAGAAACAAGAATTCAAAAAAGTGAGAAGAGACTTAGGAGCCTCTGGGACAACTTTAAATGTTCCCACATCCAAATCATGGGGGTGCCAGAAGGAACAGAGGAAAGTGAGAAATTGAAAACTTATTTAAAAAATAGTGAAAGAAAACTTCCCCAATTTGGCAAAGGAAATAGACATACAAGTCCAGGAAACACAGAGTCCCAAACAAATTAGACCCAAAGAGAGCCACACCAAGACATATCATAATTCAATTGCCAAAGATTAAAGATAAAGATAAAATCTTAAAAGAAGAAGAAGAAAACAGTTACCTATGAAGAAGTTCCCATAAGACTATCAGCTGATTTCTCAAAAGAAACCTTACAGGCAAGAAGGAGTTGAAAAGAAGTATTCGAAGTCATGAAAGGCAAGGACCTACATCCAAGATGACTCTATCCAGCAAAGGTATCACTTAGAATGGAAGGGCAGGTAAAGGAGTCCATCATCACTAAGCCCTTACTATATGAAGCGTTAAAGGGACTTATCTAACAAAAAGAAGATGATCAAAACAATGAAGAATAAAATGACAACAAACAACTATCAACCACTGACCCTAAAAAACAGAACCAAAAACAAATTAAGCAAACAACTAGAACAGGAACAGAATCACAGAAATGGAGAACACACGGAGGGTTATCAGTGGGGAGGAGAGGAGGAGACAGGGGGAAAAGGTACAGGTAATGAGGAGCATACATGGTCAGTACAAAGTACACGGGGGCAGGTTAAGAATAGTATAGGAAATGTAGAAGTCACAAAACTTACACGTACGACCCTTGGACATGAACTAAGGAGGGGGGGAATGCTGGTGGGAGGGGGTACAGGACAGACGGAGATAAAGGGGAGAAAAAAATGGGACAAAGCATAATCAATAAAACATACTTAAAAATATTTAGATTTCATTCCTGATACAAAAAGTAGTGCTATAGAGAGGCGACCTGGGGTGTTCTGTATGACACAGAACAGTCTCACGGCTTTGTGATGGACTGTGTGTGCGTGTCTGTGTGTGCGAGCCACATCTCCAGGCCGCCGCCGAGAGTGGCCGTCTTACCCTCTCACGGCCACTCACAACGAGAGACAGCGTGTGGCCCACAGTGGCCATTGATGTTCTTGCCTGAGGAAAGATTCCTGGCATTCGAGGGCAAGAGTCCAGTTTCCAGTGTAAAAATGGAGCTCTGTCACGTGACGTTTAGAAACACTGGTACTCGTGAATTAGCTGGCCTCACATGCGGTTAAGCTACTAACACATGTTCACACCAATAACTAAAAAATCTCCTAAAAGAAAGCCTGTGGTAACTGAATGAAACAGTCTGTTAACTTCTTGGAATAAGAATTAACACTTTTATTTTTGTTTCAGTTCTCGTTGCTTAATTTTAACTATTCTTGTCCAAGAGACCTTTGTAGTTAGAATCCAGTCTGGGAATGAGCCAGCAATAAATAAGCTTTTCATGTTGATGGTGAATTTCCTTTTGCTTCAGGAGGAGAAAATTTTCTTATTTCC